AGCTTTTGCTGTGATTTTCAGTTACTAAAATCATTAGAGCTTCTTGTAAAGTTGCTTGAATTCCTTTTGAAGTTTTATCTTCCTTTTTCTTTGACAAGTGAAGTTTCAGTTACACTTGTTGATTTCATATTGGATGTGTTTGTGATTTAATCTTTTTAGCTCAGACTAGAGAGATAGTTTTTGTGTTGTATTTAAGAACTTTCACTTTACCCAAATAATATCCAAGCCTCAACTTGTTAGTTGAGCTGTTGTGGGGGAGGGGGTGGGGGTGTTTGGTGCAGAGAGAACAAACTACATCGAAATCAACTCTCCCTCTTTGACAAACATAGTCGGTTTTAAGTTATCTCTATTCTGGACCATATCCTAGCAATGCACTTTGAAACCTTTTCTATTAAAATGAGATGAAACCTCTATTCTGGGTCTCGGTTTCAAAAAAAAAATGATGGTTAGTTTTTATTTGACGTAATGAATAAAGAAGGCTATTTTGGAGCATGAATATAGAATTTGTTAGTATGTGTACCATTTCAAATGCTATGGTAAGGCCACCATATAGAATTGAATTTTTTTGGGGTTCCATTTGAAGAAATCATCAACTTTCAAACCATATGTGTTAGTAGTACATATTTGGGATATACATAAGTTTCTTTTGGAGTGCAGGGTGCCATGGCACCGATTAGTGCAAACATGGTTTTGCCCTCCGTAATGGTGACATAGTGCTTTTGATCTACTACATGTTGGCTGAGTCCTTGAAGTCTGCATAACTTTTTATAGGCCTGATGATGAGGATGCCCTCATAGGGCATACTTGGCTCACAATGGTAGAGTCAGTTAGCTATCAAAGATTGTTGTGCAAGTGGATTGACATGTTTGCCGCAATAGTCGCAAAGGTGGTGCAAAGTTTTTCTCTCCGTGTGTAGGTAGGTTAAATCAGGAGCACGCAATGATGACATTGTGGTTTTGCTTCTCTCACCAAGCCAAGATTTTGAGTTAGACTGTTACCCGACAACAGTATCATTTTGTGATCTTATCAGGAGGGGAAAAACAAAAACAGAAAAAAGGTCTATGTGAAGCTGTTATGGTTGATTCGCCTGATTTACCACAGACGTAAGCCATTAGGCTTCTTGCCAAGGCAACGATTAAGGTAAGAATTTCGCCTACTTTGGAGAGAATCCCATGTTAGCCGTGAACATATCATCTTCTTACTACCCTTGGACCTTGCAGCCCATAGTTGAGGATATTTCAAAGGGTCTCAGCTTCATTCCCTCATAGGCCCGCAACAAAATCCCCAGACCTCCAGGGCTGCTGCTAAGTTCTTGGAACATGACCACTAGTGATGGATCTCCCTGGGATTTCATGGTGTTCCTTTTCTAGGGGATTTCAGTATGGATCCGGTTGTTGAATTGGACTGGTCCTTAGTTTATGGGCCTTGCAGAGTGTCATTAAAATGAATTCGTATTACATAATTAGAGAATGACTAAATTAGTGGAGATGTCATTGGCTGCTGTTTTATTATTTTCATATGAAGAATTTGGTTTTTAGATTTTACGTGTAATATGCCATTGATATTTTTGTCATCATTTTAAGCCTTCTTTGTAGATTAATTGGTGCTATAATACTCTGTAAAAAATGGAGTTCTTATGCTAGGTTCTATTTTCTTGCAGGCTGAGAGTGCAATTGCTGCTTTGAACTGTAGTGGTGTGGTTTTGGGATCACTGCCTATAAGGTTGGTTTTGTGAATTGTGCACTTTACATACTTTGACAATATTTTTTTGGTAGATAATAAAAAAAAATTACAGAGATATATAGCAGGATACGTAATCAAGATGAGATGAAACCCCTCTAATACAAACCACAAATACATCTGAAAGAAACAAGCTATCACTTCAAAAACCTATCAACAACGAGGCCGACTGACTAGCTTACCAAGCCATAGAAACAAAACCAACTTTCAACTATCTTTTTAAAATTCTTGTTGAGATGTTCCAAGCAAGGCATAGCTGCCAATTAGCTTGGCTGTTTTTCACCATTCTCCAAGAACTAATTCTAAACCTAACATCATCTGATATCTTCCTCATTTTCTGATAAAAAAAAACTCCGCTGTACGCTTTCTTTCCTAATGTAATATACTACAACTGCAAGTGAGAGTTTATAGACGGCACAATTGTGATTCTTCTTACTGGGCACCATAGGATCTCATCTTCTTTAGCATTTCTTTCCAAATGGCAGTTGAGTAAGGACCAGTAAAAAAGAGATGATGCGAGTTGCTAGGATATGTAGTTTAATAGAAACCTTTTCAATTGAAAGAGATGCTGCTGAGTTTCCAAATGGCACTTTGAAACCTTTTCAATTATGGCTCAGTTTGTTTCAATGTAGTTTTTTTAAGAACAATAAGATCATTTTTTTTATCATAAGAAAATCAATATTTAGCGCACTCAAGTAATTTCATCCAAAAAATTAAAAGCTTACAGCTAAATGATCAATTAAGTCAAAATGCTTTTATAGTTGATACATTTTATTGGGAATTAAAGCTTTAACTCCAATTCTTTGCAGCAGCAGCCACAAAACTTTATTTGGATAAAGCAGCCTAACATGGCATAGCAGACCAACAACAGCTACAGCATTTCAGTTTGCCCTCTACAGCCCAGCAATTCAGACCAGACTAGCATTCAGCATAATAGCCCGAATGGCATATCAGACCAATAACAGATACAACATTTCAGATTGCCCTTTGCAGCCCACTAAAACAGATTCAGCATCAAGCAGATCAAAGCTCCCCTGTGACACACCATTCCACAAATAGCAGCAGGCAACAAAACATCCAAAGTCAACAATAGCAGCACAAACTACTCATCAACAGCAGCAAACAAATCAGCTTATTCCTTCTGTCCAAACAGTAACAAACAGATCAGCAAACAGCACAGCAGCAAGCAGATAACAGGCCAACCCCTCAGTTCAAGGTCGGTTAACTTTCTTTATAATGCTTTATATCATGCTTAACAGATTAGCTTATTTATTTTTATTGTTTTTGTGTAATTTAGTTCATGTATATCATGCTTTATAATGTAATTAGGCATGATATACATTGAGTTAGTTCATGCTTTCTAATTTATGTTTGTATAATTTATTTCATGTAGATCATGCGTTATAATGTATTTTATTTCATGTATATCATGTTTTATACTGTTACTTGTGTTATTGCAGATTGGAAAATGGTTCCTGGCTTAAAGACTGGTCGACTTCGGAAAAAGACAGTCACGAGCACAATAACAGACTCGCCGCTACTATTCCTTTAGGATCAACCGTTTCTCCATCTCCTATTCTCCATGTACGATCAAATGTGGGACCATCTCATCATGCCACTAGCCAACCAATTGTTGATTCTGATGACACAAGCCCCATCCGAAACACAGTCGAATGGCGTAGGTAAGATTAAAATGTATCAAATTTGTCAATTATCACTTGCCATTGTAGCCAATTTTCTTATTTTTATTTTGTTAACAGGGACTTCGAAGCCCCCACGTGTACTCAGACCGACACTTGGCAAAGGCATACAAAAAATAATTAGAGCCAAGAAAGGGAAAAAATGTTATGTTTACATCGATCGTGAGTTGAATGCAATGACTGGCAAGTATGCCACTCCAGCAACTAATGAGTTAGGAATTCAAATTAGGACCTTGTGCCCTATGAAAGATGTCAAGTCATGGCTGGATCTTGATGAGACTACAAAATCTGTCGTCATCCAAGCTGTTCTTGTAATTGATATTACTTGTTCACAAGATGTAATTGTATTACGTATGCTTATAAGAAAGACTTTTATTTAATTATTACAATTTCCATTTGTTATGCTTGTAGGACAAGTTTCAAATTGGAGACGATTTCCACAATGACTTACAAGCACAACAGATTGTGAATAAGAAGGCTTATGGATTGTACAAAAATTGGAGGTGCACCTTGAAGCAAGAATTCGAATTGTTAGAGGGACTTCCACGTGATGAGATCTATGCTCATCTGTCCCTAGGGGTGAGTTTAGATGATTGGAAGCATTTGATCGATGTGGCATGGCAAGATGCATCTCACCAGGTAAAATAATAGACTAGATAGAGTACATACATCTATGCGAAAATGTGATATGCCTTAATATTTACCAAAAAATTGTTTATCTGCTTGTCTTATTTTTAGAAACGGTCAAAAGCTGGCAAGAGTAATAGGAGTCAATTGCCGTACAATCATACCAATGGGTCTCGCTCATTTCTTATCGCAATGGCTGATATGGTGAGATTGATTTTATTTAAAATTAAATCCATTATATGTTGTTTGGATATGAAACTGATATGTTGTGATTTTTTGGGGCAATTATGGCTCTATTAGTACTGTTATTAAACTATAAAGCAAAAGAAGAAGAGCTATGTTTCCATTTCTCGCATTTTTTTCTACTCTCTAGGTAAGTAGCTGTATTGAAATTGTAAATGAAACACATAATAGAGCTCATATACCAAAAAATAAAAAAAAGGCCAAAATAAGTATGTTTTCAACACCACAGGTTGTTGCTGTCTGCAAAATTCTATCTACAAATCTGTCTAAAAAAAATAAGTACACATAATAACTATACAAATCTGTCTTCAAAAAAAAAGTATACAAACTCTGTCTAAAAATCTGTCTACAAACTCTGTCTGCAAACTCTGTTTTGAACATCTACTGTCTGGAAAAAAACTGTCTAAAAAAAATCTGTTAAGGATACCAAAATCCAATCTCCACTTGTTTCAGCTGTTACTGAATAGTACTAGTAGGGAAAGTGAGCATGAGTTAAGGATACCAAAATCCAATCTCCACTTGTTTCAGCTGTTACTGAATAGCACTAGTAAGGAAAGTGAGCATGAGTTAACTTTTTGTCACCTTCACTATTTAGTTGGCAACTGATAAAATGTGAATGACTTCCATAGCTAATTGATGAGCATTATTGTTTTGGAGCCTTGCAAGTTCACCAAAGCCTCATTAGTCTCTTTAAAGAGCTTCAAGTTTATCCACTGGACCTTCCCATTTGTCAACCAATTCCTGGAGTTTCTCAAATCCCTGATACAAATAATTGTATTCTGCATTAACCCCTAGCCTAAATTGTCTATAATCCCACATCAAGATTTGTAATGGTGTGAAGACAATAGAGACAAATCCAACAATCTGTTATGCAGTTTGCCTAAAAGGACGATAAATTAGAATTTTAAATACCTGAGGGGTTCTGAGACCCAACAAAAAGTGAAATTCAAGTACATCAAAACTTTAAATACCTGATAACAATTAGGACCATCACCAGCTAATCCAAGTTCAGCCATGTAGGGTGTAGCACAACCAGTAGGACAACCAGTTATCATTATCACTATAGATTCATTATATTCAAGACCAACCTGAAATTATAAAAGTCCATCTGGTTAACAAGCATCATTACCTAATCTAACAATATGACCTTAATCGAAAACCTTTTCCAGCTACTTTGCTGGATTTGTTAATACTTGTAGCTTGATTAATATACCTTCTCAAATACAGTATGAACCCGCTTTAGGATGTCAGGTATTCCACGCTCAGTTTCAGTTATTGCCAGAGGGCAAAATGGAAAAGCAGGGCATGCCATTGCAGTTACGTTAAGGGGATCTACGCCCATTGCCATTTATGAAATTTGTGTAAACTAGAATACTACTGCCTCTATTTCCAAATCTAGCTGCAAATCTGTCTAAAAATCTAGCTGCAAATCTATCTAAAAATCTGCAAAAATCTGCTTAAAGTGTCATTGATTTATACATTGATGTGTTAACAGGTAGCAAAAAATGGAGAGTTGGATTTTCCTAAGTTCTATGAGGACAACCACATTTCAAAGAAAACGAATGACTGGATCCATCCGAAATGTCGTGAGCTGCATGTAACTATGTGACAAGGAAATATATGTATTCAATATGACTGTACTTAGTACCCAATAATACATATATGTTAGTTAGCTTTTTTTGTCTTATTTATTTGCAATGATAGCAAGAGATGGTCAATGTACAAGCGGCTGCCATCGAGTCAGGGACGCCATTGACACAGGAGGAGCTTTCAAGGCAAGTGCTTGGACAGAAGAAAAGGTACTTGCTTGGATTTGGGAGTGGCCCATAACACTCAACCATAGCTGTATCACGAGCACACGATAAGGACAAGGAGGCAATGCGAGCTGAGATGAAGGCACTTCGTGAGGAGTGACAAAAAGATCATGACGAGTTAATGAAAGAGCAAGAGGAGCGCAAGAGATGTTACAATAAGCTGTTGAAAGAGCGGGAGTAGGGACAAAAGGCAAGGGAGGAGACAAATACAAAGGTCGAGCATCTTAATAACATAGTCGCCAAACTGTCACAACTCTTGGGAATCTAAGTTGGGCATCCGACGTTTGCTTTTTGATAAGAACAATTTCATTAATGTCACACTTACTTTGTTTAAATATGTTCGCTTTAAGAGTTGAAAACGTCATCAATTTGGGAGTTAATCTGCCTCACAAATTCAATGGGAGTTGTTTAAATATGTTCGCTTTAACTTTTGTTTATAAGTTTATGAGCTGATTCTTTATACTCATTCCTAGATTACAAACCAAGACCATCATTCACTGAAACCTTTGTTTATACCCACCAACCATCAACAAAAACCTTTGCATTTTCAACTCTAATTTACATTGTATCATTACCACCCAAGACCTTCATTCACTGAACTCTTACCTAGCAAAAAGAATACTTCAAATGAGAAGTTGTAAAGGACAAGCACTGCTAAGTGACAATTAGGAGACATTTAAGATGCCTTGACAATTCATTGAACACTCTACTAACCAAGTTTAAAGTTTCATTAAACTGTCTACTACCGAGAAGTTTAAAGCTTATTTATGAGTTTTTATAAATTAATAAAAACTCAAATCTCTTTTCAAAAATGTTATTTGTGCAATTGATTTTTTGTGTAGTTACTAGAGTTTGGTATTGAGTTTTCTTAACAATGAACTTGTATTTAACGAATTTACTTGATTAAGATTAACTACAGTAGCAACAAGTTAAAAAAACATAGTGAATTTCAATCTTCGTTTAAAGTCGCATGTTGTTTTCCACAGTGGCATTTTGAATAGTAACTCAAACCACTGTTTTGACGTAATGGTAAGCTTCCCGGTGACAAATGTGACATGTAATGACAGACGGTACGTAAATAGGACACATACGTTGGGAGTTCGAGTTAAAAATGTCATAAATTTAGTCAAAAAAAGGGGTTCTGTGGACGAAAATACAAAACAGCTCCCAAACCACTATTTTTACATAACGGGACGCTTCCCAGTGATAAATGTGTCATGTAGGGACAGACGGTACGTAAGTAGGACACGTACGTTGGGAGTTAGGGTCATAAACTTAGTCGAAAAAAAGGGGTTCAGGGGGCGAAAATGCAAAACAGCCCCCGAGCCACTGTTTTTTCATAATGGGAAGCTTCCCGGTGATAAATGTGACATGTAGGGATAGACGGCACGTAAATAGGACACCTATGTGGGGAGTTAGAGTTGAAAATGTCATAAACTTAGTCGAAAAAAAGGGGTTCGGGGGGCAAAAATGCAAAACAGCTCCCGAACCACTATTTTTTCGTAACGGGAAGCTTCCCGGTGACAAATGTGTCATGTAGGGACAGACGGTACGCAAGTAGGACACGTACGTTGAGAGTTAGGGTTGAAAATGTCATAAACTTAGTCGAAAAAAGGGATTTGGGGGGCGAAAATGGAAAACAGCCCCTGAACCACTATTTTTTCATAACGGGAAGCTTCTCGGGGACAAATGTGTCATGTAGGGACAGACGGTACGTAAATAGGACACATAAGTTGGGAGTTAGAGTTAAAAATGTCATAAACTTAATCGAAAAGGGGTTCGGGGGGCGAAAATGCAAAATAGCCCCCAAACCACTATTTTTACATAACGGGAAGCTTTCCAGTGACAAATGCGACATGTAAGGACAGACGGTACGTAAGTAGGACACGTACGTTGGGATTTAGGGTTGAAAATGTCATAAACTTAGTCGAAAAAAGGTCAGGGGTGAAAATGGAAAATAGCCCCCGAGCCACTGTTTTTTCATAACGGGAAGCTTCCCGGTGATAAATGTGACATGTAGGGGCAGACGGTACGTAAATAGGACACCTACGTTGGGAGTTAGAGTTGAAAATGTCATAAACTTAGTTGAAAAAAGGGGTTCGGAGGGCGAAAATATAAAACAGCCCCTGAACCACTATTTTTTTATAACAGAAAGCTTCCTGGTGACAAATGTGTCATGTAGAGACAAACGGTACATAAGTAGGACACGTACGTTGGGAGTTAGGGTTGAAAATGTCATAAACTTAGTCGAAAAAAGGGGTTCAGGGGGCGAAAATGCAAAACAGCCCCCGAGCCACTGTTTTTTTCATAATGGGAAGCTTCCCGGTGATAAATGTGACATGTAGGGATAGACGGCATGTAAATAGGACACCTATGTGGGGAGTTAGAGTTGAAAATGTCATAAACTTAGTCGAAAAAAAGGGATTCGAGGGGCAAAAATGCAAAACAGCCCCCGAACCACTGTTTTTTCGTAATGGAAAGCTTCCCGGTGACAAATGTGTCATGTAGGGACAGACGGTACGCAAGTAGGACACGTACGTTGGGAGTTAGGGTTGAAAATGTCATAAACTTATTCGAAAAAAGGGGTTCGGGGGGCGAAAATGCAAAACAGCCCCCGAGCCATTGTTTTTTCATAACGGGAAACTTCCCGGTGATAAATGTGACATGTAGGGACAGACGGTACGTAAGTAGGACAAGTACGTTGGGAGTTAGAGTTGAAAATGTCATAAACTTAGTCGAAAAAAGGGGTTCGGGGGGCACCATTTTGCCATAAGTAAATGTGACGAAGGATATATCCTGTTGACCTAATCGGTTGGAAATTCAAATAATGGATTTGTAAAGTTCAGCTAAGGTTTAGGCGCAATTGTGTATTTGATTAGTTTAACTATCACCACTACAAAATGTGCAACAACAGTTGAATAGTAGACAGTTCATATAACATGGCCTCAAGATTTTGGCTGATGGGAGGATAATTCCTCAGCAACAGATCAGGGAACTTAGGACTAAAGAAGCTAAGTATTGAAGATATCTATCAAAATTAGATGGTGTTATGGAAGAATAGTTAAGCATAATCTTTTTCAGCTCTTGTCCCCATAAGCCTGTAAAGAACCCAAGGCATTACTCATTCACAAATAGAAGTATATGTAACATCTATAAACCCACTAATTAGTTAAATAGAAATGAATAGTATTATGATTTCATTACATTTTTGACTTAGTTTCTTCTTTAAGGAAAGCGTTTTCAAACTTTCTATGATTATATCGACTAAATTAGAATCTTTAATGAAGAAAAAGTACACACCAATTTCCATCCATGGAGGTCACAAAAGCACTGTTTTAACGTAACGGGAAGCTTCATGGAGGTCACAAAAGCATAAGCATAGTGAAAACACCATCTTCATGATAACCAACACAATCTCCTTGCCTTTACAAATTGCTTAATTCAGGTTTCTTTATTGTAGGGCCAGTATTGAGTTTTATGGATACCAGACAAACTCTAATGATGGGTCCTCTTACATTTTTATAACAAATAATTTTTGGATGAAATAGTAAGTACACCCATAATTTCTGTAATTTGGTAATACCTACACAGTTTACTTTCACTTTTAACTACTAAAATTTACTTAGATAGATTTAGAGATTAAAAAGCTAAAACAAGAACTCATGATGGGCCCATGTTTGGATGTCTTTCATTAGTTAATAGCTATTACTCTCCTTGTCTTTTAATGTTTGAAATTATTACAATATATATATGTCGTCTAGAAGTGCCTCTATACGCACCAAACTAATGATTTTTTTGTTTTTTTGCAGATGCTTTTAGACATACAAATGTGGATATGTTTTTTTTGACAAGTACGAGAGGGCATTGTTTTTATATCTCTATCCGTATATATAGTGGTTTGTACAAATTACTTTTTTGGTGTGGTAAATATCAGTTAAGTTGGAATGGTAGAAATTAACATAGCACGTGGTACAAAATAGTTTTGGGGCAATACAGAATATAATTTTTGTTGTGGTACAGAAGGTCTAAGTGTACAATTAATTTGGTTATTTCTGTATTATGTATGGAATTAAATTATTGACGTTAGATTAGACTTGGTTCTTATATGGTTGAAACTGAAATGTGTGCACGTTGTTGAATGCTTGATAACATATTTACTGTTGATGGATTATATTGTTTATACAGGGTACAGGTTGTATTAATAATGGATACAGGTTGTTTAGAAAAAAAAAATTTTTAAAAAAAAAAACCACGTTAAAGTATTTGGCCACCAAATATTTTGGTAGCCAAATACGTAATCAAATGTTTTGGTGACTAATAATTTAGTAGCAAAAACATAACTCAAAAAGTTTTTGCGACCAAATAATTAGTAGCTAAAACAATTGAGAATGAGAGAAAGAAACTATTGGCCACTAAATTTTTTAGTCACGGAAAAAAAATGGTATCATTTGGTGACTAAAACATTTGGTGGCAAAAAGTGAAGAAGTGAATGTTAAGAGGCTTTTCGCTACGAAACTTTTAGTGGGCAAAAGTT